CTGACAGCATTAGTCACCCGGAGGCTTAGGACCTGGCCAGAGAGGCAGGAGGTCAGGCCTGAGTCTGTGCGGTTGAAACCCAGAACACAGGACAGGAGCAGGTCTCTCTCTGCAGCCCTTGTGCCCAGAGAACTGGCTCTCCAGGACACAGCCACCTGCATCAGGGGCCCAGGGTCACCCACATCTGGGAGGTGGCATCCCCAGTCGGGATCAAGGGTGACCTGATGTGAGGTCTCTGGTGCCTGCCTGGCCCTGGTGCTGTGCCCCTCACAGGGCCTGGAGGGACACCTGGGCTGTTCTTTCCTAGGCTCCAAGAGGCAGCAACGCACAGCAGCCTGAGCCTGAAGTTGCACCGGGGTCCTGGTGCCTGGCAGCCATAGATGGGGGCGGCCAACCCAGGGTGCTTCCAGGATTCGACCTGGCCATCCCTGCAAAACTAGCGAGCTGGGTTTTATTTTGGAGGGTTTTTTTTAAGTCCATCAAATGGTATGGTGTGATCCGCATTATTTTGTGGTTACCATGGTGACCACACTTCTGCCCTCTGAGAAGGGAAGCTGGGGTGGGGTAGAGCCTGTCCCCCATGTGTGATCTCAGGATCAGAGGGGAATGGGGGTGCAAGGAGGGGCCAGCAGAGGGCCCTGGCCAGAGCCAACCTACATGGGACTCTGGGGGACAGAAGGGCCAGCGCTGGAGCACAGGGAAGGAAGTGGCCATCAAGGCTGGGGGTGTCAGTGGGGGAAGAGAAACCAAAGCTCTTGTTAACGACACTAGAGTGGTCAGGGAAACAACATTCTAGAACTGTTCTTGAATAGCGAAAGTTAAAGATTAGTCTTGGAAGGCAGTGAGCTCCCTGTCGCAGGAGGCATTTACGCCAAAGCTGAGCAGCCACTCCCAGGAAGCCCACTGCCCACAGGGCTTGCTAGGGAGCCGGTGACGCTGGGGCTTTTGCGACATCAGTGTCTGAGGCTGGCGGCCCCAAGCAGCAGGAGGGACACGGGCCGGTGACAGCACAGCTGCGGCTTCTGGGTGACCAGCCAGTCAGGTTTGCTGACCTGGACCTCAGTTTCCCCACTCAGAGGTGGGAGGAGCTGCGGCGCTGCATCTTCTGCCCTGCTCAGAAGCTTTGCAGCCTCGACTGGCTCTGGCTCCAGTGTCCCTGCAGCAGGGGCCAGGGCGCCCCTGGGACCCTGCATCCGCCTCCTGAGCCGTCCCGTCCCAACCCCCACACACACATCGTCCGGCACCCCGCAGGGCCCCAGGTGGGGACAGCGCGGCCTCCCATCCCTCCCAGGTTCTGCGTGGGGTGGGCTTTCTGGGGAAGGGGCCAGGGCAGGGCCTGGGTCCCAGTGGGGTTGCCGGCGGCAGGGGTGGGGGCTGAACAGAGACAGGTGCAGGGATGGGTCCCCTTTGCCCCTCAGAACTCTTCCTGCTATTTCTGAACCAGGTGGTTTGGGTAACTTAACTTACTATCTCCAGCCTCCTTTTCCTCCAGGCGACGCCCTGCACTGCCCCTCCTGCCCTTCTCCCTTCCACTGCCCAAGCCTGAGGGTCATTTGTTTGTCCCCAGTCACAAAGTGTCTCCTCTGGACTGTGCCTTCCTGCCTCAGCCTCCCCACCCCTTTCTCCACCCTTTGGCTGTGTCTCCAGAGCTCAGAATAAATCCATCCTTCCCTCATCTTCTAAAGCTGCCCCACCTAGCGTGCGCGCCTGTTCTCCCCTCCTTACCCTCGCTGTCTTTGTCAGCTGGGCTGCGGTGATGGTCTCTGCTCCTGAGCAGCACTGGCATCTGCTGGGCCGGGCTGCCAGGCCAGGAGTTGGCGCTGTGCCTCCTTCCTTTTGGGGCCGGCTGGGGTGACCCCGTCCCTTTCCTGGCCTGTGGGGCTCAGCAGGGGAGAGGGGGAACCTCAAGGTTATCAAGGTGCCGGCTGGGGGCTTCACACCGGCCTTCAGGTCTGGAGCCACCTGGGACGGCAGGGGCGACCACAGGCACAGCACCTCGTGAGGGGTCTGGTGACAGAGCTAGGGATGAGGACATTCGGGATGGGCTGGGGCAGGTGTGGACAGAGAATCATCAATCTGCCAGGTATACAGTGTGTCCGTGGGAGGGGTGGGGATGTGAGTGGCTTTGTTTTGTGGCACTGGGACGGAACCCACGCCCTCACACACCAGGCGAGCGCTGACCACTTAGCTGCCCACCCCGGACCTCCCTGGTGTGCTGCTCTTTAGGGGGATTCAATCAGATAAACGCAGGCTCTGGGGAGGCCTCAAGGGGGCAGTGTTGAGCCTCAGTGGCGGGGAAGCGTCAGGACGCTGACAGAAGCTGCAGAAAGGCCCTGAGGTCACCTGTGGGTGTTGAGCAGCAGATGAGGCAGAGCTGGGAGGGACAGTAGTGCTTGCCAGGTGAGAAGATGGGAAGGCAGGGTGGGTGGGACCCAGTTTGGGTTTTCAGAGGATTCCTGCGGGTCTTGGAGGAGACAGTTGGGTGGGAGAGGGTGATGATGCGGGCAGGGCCTGCTGGCGGCAGCCAGGCGCTGAGTCACCGGCGCTAGGTGTGTTTTGCTGCTAACACCAGCAGAATCTGCTGCTGTGGCTGGGAGAGAGCAAAAGCCAAGTTTGACGTCAGCGTTTCGGGCTGGGCTGGCAGACAGGCGGGCACTTGGAGCGGGGGTGTCGGGCGCTTGGCTTGGGGTGCTCCTGTGGGCTCATCCAGTAGGAATTCAGGGCACACTTCAGGCCCGGGGGAGACCTAGGCTTAGGGTATAATGAGAACTGAGAGCACATACACCTCTGCTGCTTACAGCCCAGAAACCTGTGTCTAGCAAGGAGGTCCCAAGATGGACTTCACTTGGCATCATTTTATTTTTTTGAGACAGGGTCTTGCTATGTTGCTCAGGCTCTGATTTGCGATCCTCCTGCCTCAGCCTTCAAGTATTGGGATGACAGGCATGTGTCACCACAGGTGGCTTCAATTCCATCTTCAGAGCGCCTCCCTCCATCTTGGTTCTCACACCCCAGGCCTTTCTCCTTCATGCCTCTTGGAAGGGACCCGCTGCAGAACCAGAAGAACCTCCTCACACGATCCTTAGCTCGGGTCCAGCATTCGCTTAGCAAATGCCTCAGCCCACAGGCACGTCCCTCCATCCAACCCTCCGGAACTGGCTGTGGTCACAGCGGACAGTGCAGCCACACCCCTCATGGTGACACCTGCCACTGCCCCCTCCCCCAGTGGCACTGTCCCACTGCCTGGAAGTGCCAGTCTCCAGCTCTGACAAGGGAAACTAAGGCTCTGAACATCAGAGCCAGTACCCAGTTGCTCAGCGAGGCCTCCCTTGCACTGCTGCCCGCAGCTCCCCAGCCTGCAGCCCAACAGAGGAAGTGAGGCTGGTGCAGGACCAAAACCCACCCACCTCCCTCTCTCTCCCTCCTCAGGCCCAGGCAAAGGTATCCCCGGGAGGACACACGTGCCATTCGTGATGTGTGGCAGGGCACACAGCAGTGCTCACTGCCTGGTCCCCAGCACAGCCCCTAAGCACTCAATAAAAGCAGGGGAGGAAGCCAGGCTGAGGTGGTGCATACCTGTAATCACAGCACTCTGGGAGCTTAGGTAGGAGGGTCACAAGTTTCAAGTCCAGTCTGGGTGACTTAGTGAGATGCTGGCTCAAAATAAACAAAAAGGCCTGGAGCTATTGCTCGGTGGAAAGGGCCTGGGTTCAATGCCCAGTACCACAACCCCCCCAAAAAAGAAAAAGCAAAAAGAGGGTGTGTGAGGACAGGGACAGAATGGTGCCCTGCTAGAGGGGCTTACAGGACACAGCTCCAGAGTCCTAGAGGCCAGGGGGCCTTGCTTGCGGCAGAGCTCAGGCTCAGCATGCACGAAGCCTTGGGTTCCTTCCCTGGCACCAAGAGAAGAAAAATAAATCAGCGCTTTTTTCTTCTAAAGATGGAAAAACTATGAATGCAGGAGACCCAGGGCTTTGAGGTCAGACAGATTTGCTATTCCTGACATTTGACAGCTGTGTGGCCTTGGCCAACTTACTTAACCTCTCTGAACCTCCAGCCTCAGCTGAGGAGGTGACTGGCCAGATGTGGGAAGGCTGCTGGCAGCGCATTGGACAAACCCTGGGTGCAGCCTGGGCTGTCTCTCCCTTCTCTGTGTGGGTGTCCTGTGCCAGCCACCTCGAATGTTCCGTGGCAGTGGGACAGATGGAAAGGGCCGGGCCCTCTGGGGAGAAAGAGGGTCCCAGGGGCAGAGCTGGAGTCTCCCCCACCCAGTAGCAGGCATTAATCCCAGGGCCTTCACACCATACTACATGGCAGCCCTTTTCTGGGTCTATCTTGAGATGGTGTCTTTGTCTTGCTACATTGCTCAGGCTGGAGTTGAGGTGTGTCACCACACCCCCAGAGCAGGGCGTTGTGCCCCAGGATGGGGGCACAGGACTGTGTTGTCTGGGACCCTGGGAGGGCAGGCCCTGTGGGAGGGCCCCTCCCCCCAGCACCTGGGGCTCCCCCACCCCATGGGAAGCCGGCCAAGGAGGCACAGCAGAGCCGAGCGTTGTCCTGGATCCTCAGCAATAAACGTAGGTACCTGTAGTTCCAGGACCCTGGGAGGCTGAGGCAGGAGGATGGAAAGTCTGGGCCCAGCCTGGATGCCTGGGCAACAGTGAGCTCTTGCCTTAAAATAGAAAGTTTAAGCCGGGCATGGTGGCGCACGCCTGTAATCCCAGCACTCGGGAGACTGAGGCAGGAGGATCACTGTGAGTTCGAGACCAGCCTGGGCTACATAGTTCCAGGTCAGTCTCAACTACATAGTGAGACCCTGTCTCAGGAAACCAAAAAAAAAAAAAAAGATTTAAAAAGGGCTGGCTGGGGATGTTGCTCAGTGTAAAGTATCGAGTCCAACCTCCAGCGCTACAGAAAGGAAGGAAGGAACCGGGTTCAGGGGAGCAGGCTGCCCACGGGAGATGCCCGGGCGGCTCCGTACAATCCGGTGTGTTCCACAGATGAGGATGACGCCAACAGGCTGGGGGAGAAGGTGATCCTCCGGGAGCAGGTGAAGGAGCTCTTCAACGAGAAATACGGTCAGTCCACCGCAGGGCTGCGCATGCGTCCGCGCACTGGGCACGCCAGGAGTGGGGCGCCCCCTCCCTGACCCGCTGTGCCCTCCAGGTGAGGCCCTGGGCCTGAACCGGCCCGTGCTGGTCCCTTACAAGCTGATCCGAGACAGCCCTGACGCCGTGGAGGTCACGGGCCTGCCCGACGACATCCCTTTCCGGAACCCCAACACCTACGACATCCACCGGCTGGAGAAGATCTTGAAGGCGCGGGAGCACATGCGCATAGTCATCATAAACCAGCTCCAGTGAGTGCGCTGGGGCACGCGGACTCTGCAAGAGCAGCGGAGCCCAGCCCCAAAAATCCACAGTGCGGACCTAGAGATTAAACCCAGATCGGGGCCTTATACAATTCCAGAGCCTCTTTTTCTTGTTGCTGGAACTTGTTTCATTTTGGTTTTTTTGTTGTTGTTTTGGTACCGGGGATCAAACTCGTAACCTCATGCTTGTGAGACGGGTGACAGAACCACTGAGCTAAATCCCCAGCTCTTCTTGATGTTGTAACTTGCAATCCTCCTGCCTCAGCCACTGGAGTAGCTAGGTCACCCCCCCATGACCTCACTTCCTGCTGGCCCTGCTCCCCAAGTTTTCCAAATCGGCCTAGTGGGCTGACCCAGCCTTCAACACAGGCTTTTGGGGGACATGGAGGAGTCAAACTGCACTTTGCAAGCCAGGTGTGGTGCTTGTTTATAATCCCAGCACTTGGGAGTCTGAGGCAGGAGGATCACTGTGAATTTGAGGCCAGCCTGGGCTACACAATAAGACCCTATCTCAAAAAAAAAAAAAAAGCAAAAAACCCCACCCAAAACACAAATTGCACCTTGCCTGGCTACAGGCGGAGCGTCTCATCCCACAAGAGAAAGGAAAACCACTCCTCACTGCTGCTGTGTTTTGTTCTTTTACAGACCTTGTACAGAAATCTCCAATGATGCCAAGGTGCCAGGTGAGTTGGGGTTGGAGAAGCCACCCTTCTGCTCCGTGGGGACAAAGAGGAACAGTAGCCAGGTGCGATGCTGCACGCCTGTCATTCCAGCTACTTCAGAGGCTGAGGCAGGAGGCTTGCATGTTCAAGCCCAGCCTGGACAGCCTAGTGGCAACTGTCTAAAACAATATTTTTAGAGCTGGACATGGTGGTGCACACCTGTAATCTCCTCACTCAACAGGCTGAGGCAGGAGGCTCGCCATAAGTTCCAGGCCGGCCTGGGCTACGTAGCGAGCCTCTGTCTTGAGTCTTCCCTGGGGAGGTGGGTGACTGTCCTAGCAGGGCATCCACCCCAGCAGCCCTTTCTCCCAGCAGCTAGGGACAGCGTTCCCAAGCGCAAGAGAAAGAGGGTCTCCGAAGGCAACTCTGTGTCTTCCTCCTCCTCGTCTTCCTCCTCCTCGTCCTCCAACCCGGAGTCCGTGGCGTCCACCAACCAGATTTCCCTCGTGGTAAAGCTGTCTGGAACTGCCCCTCGCCACCCTCTCCTTGTCTCCCTCGGAGGGCTGCCTGTCAGGGAGGCACAGGGTGCCTGGGTGGTGGGTGCCTGTGTTGATGCTCAGAGAGCAGCTGAGGGTTCTGCCTCAGGGCTCCTCTGGTCTGCCCCCTTGCGGTGGGGCTCTCCTGCCTTAGTTTCCTAGCCAGGGAAGCACTCTGGAGAGTTCTGATTTCAAGATAGCAGCTTGAACCCTGGAGGGGTAGCACACACCTGTAATTGCAGCACTGTGGGAGGCTGAGGCAGGAGGATCCCAAGTTTGAGCCCAACCTGGGTAACTTAGTGACTTAGTGAAACTGTCTCAAATTTAAAAAGAGGTGGGGATATAGCTTAACCCCCTGAATTTAATTAAAAAAAAAAAGAGGGATATGAGCCCCAGCTTTGAAATCCTGAGTGCAATTGAGAGTAGTTGAACATATATGAAAATTAATTTAGGCCAGGCATTGTAGCATACTTGTAATCCCAGCACTTGGGAGGCTGAGGCAGGAGGCTCACCGTAAGTTCAAGGCCAGCCTGAACTATATAACGAGACTCTGTCTCAAAAAAAACAAAACAAAACAAAACAAAAAAACCAAAATAAAAAAGAAAATGCTTTAAAGACTTCTTGACCCCTGGGCTGGGTTTCCTTTCCACCTTTTCCAGGAGGCCCCAGAAACCCAGCTGTGCCTCCCCCAGCCTGGGGTGTGCACCCCGAATCCTCCGGAGCCCCCACCATCTGCCCCACATGGGAGCCCTGGCCCGCTTGGAGGCTCCTGGGCCACTGCAAGCTGTGTGACCTTGGAGAGGCCGCGCATCCTCTCTGGGCCTGGGCGGTGTCCCCGGCACCCTAACCGCAGTGTCCCCCTCCCCAGCAGTGGCCGATGTACATGGTGGACTACACCGGCCTCAACGTGCAGCTGCCGGGAGCCCTCAATTACTGGACCTCAGCGCCCAACCAGGACCTCACAGAAAGACTAAAGGAAGTATAATTTATGTACAAAGTGTATATTCGGATATGTATCGATGCCTTTTAGTTTTTCCAATGATTTTTACACTATATTCCTGTCACCAAGGCCTTTTTAAATAAGTAAAAAAAAAAAAGTGTCTCCTTCCTTTGTAAGGGTCACATGATTCTGGTCTCAGGTACAGAAGCGGGTGGGAAAGCCCTTCCCTACGTGAGAGCAGGCTGTGCTCTGGCGGCTGTTGGGGGACATGACCTCAAAACACACACACACACACACACACACACACACACACACACACAAAAGCCAAAAACCATGGTGCACACCTGTGATCCCAGCACTCGGGAGGCTGAGGCAGGAGAATGCTAAGTTCAAGCCCAGCCTAGAGATTTAGTGAGACCCTGTCTCAAAATAAAAAGGGCTGGCCATGTTAGCTCAGTGCAAAGGCCCTGGGTTCAAACCTCAGTACTGCAAAGGAAAAAAGCAAGAGGTGGAGAGGCATTCTGTTCTAAAGCCAGGTAACTGAGCCGGGTGGGGAGGGCACAGCTGGGTCTGTCACCGCTCAGGTGGTGGCAGGTGCAGAGATGTGGAGGGTGCAGGACAGAGCCGCCAGACAAGTGCAGAGGGGATGCCTGTCACTCCCCGCACGAGCCCCCGGCTCCCTGATGGTCGCTGGACTATGTCCCAGCCTCGGGCAGGTGGCACCGAGGAGGGGACCTCAGCTGTGCAGAGCAGCACGGGTCCTGAGGCCGGAACAGAAGCACGGGTCAGGCCTGGAGGACAGCGAGGGAGGCCGGGTGGGGTGGCGCCCCTAGCGGCGGCAGGAGCGGCCGGGAGCCCCAGCTTCTCCAGACAGTGGAGGTGACACACACCTGAACACGGTGCCAGGCTGAAGAGGTGAGGGGAGCAGGGATTCGCCCGGCCGGGCTGTGCCCTGCTGTGCCCTGGGGAAGCCTTGCCAGGGCCCAAGGCGGGCACCAGGTCCGAGCAGGCAGGAGCCATCGCTGCCCCTCCTAGGAAGATGCCACAGTGATTGGGGCTGGGAACCCAGTGTGAGCCCGGGGTCAGCTGCACGCGTGCGTGAGCAGAACCGCCCGGATTCTTCCTGGAAAGGCACGGGAAAACCGCCCCCGCTCAGTGGTGTCTCTGCCAGCCGCGCCCTCTTCCTCCCCACAGTCCAGGACTCCACACACTATTTTCTATCTGTCGCTGCCCTGAGCTGGGCTTCCTTTTTCTCTCCACAACCCAGGCTGTGTGTGTCCCCACTCTCTAACCACAGTCCTCCATCCAGCAGCTGCCTAGGAAGCCAGGAGTGGCCTGTAATCTTAGCACTCCAGGAGGATGAGGCAGGAGGATCTCAAATTCAAGCTTTAACTGGAAAACAGCAACTTACTTAGCCCCTGTCTGAAAAATTAAAAAGGAAGGCCGGGGACTTAGCTCAGTGCTGCTGCCACCTGCCTTGCAAGGACAAGGTCCCAAGTTCAGTCCCTGGAACCAAATAAATAAAAATTTAAAAGGGCTGTGGATGTACCTCAATATGAAAGTCCTGGGTTCGATCTCTAGTAACTCAAAAAAGAAAAAGAAAAAAAAAACAGCACGGTGGCACGCCTGTAATCCTAGCACTAGGGAGACTGAGGCAGGAGGACTGCTGCAAGTTTGAGGCCAGCTTGAGCTGTGTAGTAAGCTCAAGACCATCCTGGACTACACAGCAAGACTGACTTAAAAAAAAAAAAAGAAAGAAAAGAAAAGAAAAGCGCTCAATCCACCCTGCTTGCACACCAAACCTTTGAACCTAAAGACCGCCGAATACCCAGGAGCCCTGGGCCTTGTGGGTGGGACTGGCGATGGAAACTGGATCTCACCCTGTAGCCCAGGCTATGCTCCTGCTGTGACCCTCCTGCCTCAGCCTCCGGAGTGCTGGGATTACGGGCCTGCACCACCACGCCCAGCCCAGAGCCTTGGGCTCTGGGAGCTGTGACCCGGCTGAGCTGGCTCCAGGGCCTGCACCTGATTGGGTGCTGCCCCGACCCGATGCGGAGGTTCCTGGTTCGCGGAGCTCCAGCTGCGGCTCCCGCAGCCTCACCAGCGACGTCCTCCCCACCACTGTCTCCCTTAATTAAGCTTCATTTAGCTGCCATCTGTCCCCGTTCAAAACGGCTCCATGTTTTGCGACTCTAAACAGGAATTGTTACTGGGTTTGTAAACACGGCCTCCCCACCCCGCCGGAAAGAATCACAAAACGCTTTGGAAAGTCATAAATGCGGGGGGCGGGGGCGGCGGCAGCGCGAAGTCCTAATTGCTGGGTGGCTTCCGCGACGCAATCATTTTATATACGGAGGCTTTGTACAAAAATCTGCTGTCAATGAAAAGATGGAGATTAGGGAAATGCTGGGAGTATCTCTGAGCGAAAACAGTAATAAAGCAATGATCGGCACAGGAGCACTGGCACCTGCACCTGTACCCCAGCCACCCGATCGGGCCAGGTCGCCGGTGTTGGGTCTGCAGCCTCCCCAGAGCACATCCACGCCCACCTATGGGGACGGAGCCCAGGGCACTCCACCAAGCTGCATGCCCACCCTTTTTCTATTCCTTCTTTTGAAACAAGTCTTGATACATTCTCCAAATAGGATCCTCCTGCCTCAGCCTCCAGAGTCAGATTACCAGCATGTGCCACCACATCCAACCTACTCTTTTTTTTTTTTTGGCAGTGCTGGGGATAGAACTCAGGGTCTCCTGCGTGCTGGACAAGGGTTGTGCCTCTGTGCTACACTCCCCGGCTCTCCCTACCTCATGACTGTAAAATGACTGTAAAATTTCACCTCCTTTTTTAAAAAAAATCATGCTATTACAACCAACTGTAATAACTATTTCTGTGGTATTATTTCCTGCCTTTCTCTCCTGCTATCAGCTTTTTTTAATAACTTTTCCCCCTTGAGACAGGATCTCATTATTTAGTTCAGACTGGCCTTAAGTTCACCATGTAGCCAAGGCTGGCCTCAGATTCATAGAGATCCTCCTGCTTTAGCCTGAGACACCATGCGCAGCTCGCTTGCTTTAAAGCTTGGTGACGGCAGGAGCTGCATCTGTCTTGTTCACTATTATATTCTAGCACCTTCCACAGAGCCAGAGACACTAAATGTGAGGGCAACAAGGGGCGGGAAAGGGGTGAACTGATTTGCTGCTGCTGCTGCAGCTGGGAACCCAAGACCCTGTGCTGGGTTTGTGCTCTACCGCTAAGCTACATCCCAGCCCCATAAAGAAGATTCAAAGGGTTAGAGCAGCCAGGCATACAAGCTAGCGCTCACCTATAATTCCAGCTGTGCAGGAGGATCCCGAGTCGGAGGGCAGCTTGAGCTAAACAGTGACACCCTGTCTCAAAAAGAGCCGCGCTAGGGGCTGGGGTGCAGCTCACTTGTAGAGGTTTGTCCCCAGGTGTGAGCCCTGGGCCCCCCCATCCAAACCCAAACATAAAAATACAAACAAAGGGCCAGGGGTTTAGCTCAGTGGTGCCGCTGCCTGCCTAGTAAGCTCAAAGTCTGGAGTTCGATCCCTGGTACCAAAAAACAAAAACAAAAACAAAATTTGCACACAAACCTGCCCCCTGCTAACCCAGCCATTGAGCAAGACCTGCTGTGCGCTGCAGATAGTCACGATGCAGCAAATCAGTGTTTCTTCATTTCACATCAAAGAGACTGCGATCCGAGAGACAGAGGCCACATCCGGGTTACGAAACCGAGCGCCGCAGGTTGAAGAGACACAGGACACCCCCTACAGCCAGGCCACAAGCGCTGCAGCTGCAACCACAGCGGCCGCCACCGCGGGTGGAGAAGCCGCTCACTGGGAGCTGCGGGGAGGGTCTCTGCTGCCCCTCAAAGAGTTTGAAAGAAAGGAGTAAGGCACATTTGAGAAGAAAGAAACCACCACGTCAGCACCTGGGGAGGCTGAGGCAGGAGGATCAAAAGTTCGAACTCATCCTGGGCTGAGACAACTGTTTTAAAAGAAAGAAAGAAAAGGATTGAGGAGGTGGCTCAGTAAGGAGACCCTGTGTTCAACTTCCAGTACCAAAAAAAAAAGGAATTGTCACTTGCAAACAGAACAGCAGCTCTGCTGGCCCCTGCACCTGGGGGATTCTCCTGCCCGTGGTCCCCAGGGCCCAGCTCTGAGCTCAGGGGCTCAACTCAGAGGCTGCTCAGCTCCATGCTCCGCACCCCCCAGCCCCTTTCCCACCTGACAAAGGACTGCTGGGTTGTGCCACCAGCCAAGGTCTCCCCTCCACAGCAGCCCAGCAGGCACTCTGGGCACTGAGAATTGAGGACTGAGCACAGGTGCTGTTGTCCTCTGTAGAAAGAGCTGGTGTGGGCCAGGTGAAAAGGTGCATGTGCATAGCCCCAGCTACCTGGGAGGCTGAGGCAGAAGGGTGGCAAGTTTGAGCCCAACCTGGGCAACTTAGCAAGACCCTGACTCAAAATTTAAAATGAGGGCCAGGGATTTAGCTCAGTGGTTCCTGCACCTGTCTTGAAAGTGCAAGGTCCCAAGTTCCAGCCCCGGTACAAAAAAAAAAAAAAGAGAGCTGTGGATGTAGCTCAAGACCCAGACTCTAGGTTTGATTCTCACTACTGGAAATGGATATGGAGGGAGGTGGGGGGGGTGCTGCAGGACTGAGCTACATCCCCAACCCTGTTTTTATTTTTATTTTGAGACAGGGTCCCTAGAGGCTCACAAAGTTGCTAAATTGCCCAGGCTGGACTTGAACTTGTGATCCTCCCGCCTCAGCCTCCCTCAGTGCTGGGATTACAGGCCACCAGGCCCAGTGTACTGAGGGTTTTTTTTGCCCATGAAAACAGTAACTCTACTGGTCCCCAGGAGAAGGACCACCTCAGGGAGACCCCTCCGGGCACAGGGAAGAGGGCAAGCGACTCCCAGTCTGGAGGGGAAGAGAAATGCACCTGTGGACTCACGGACAGACTGCTGCGTCCCTGTGTCGACTTCCAGGAAGCCACTCAGGGGCCGGGTGTCCCTGCCTTTCCCAGGCGGGACCTGCACACAAAGGGCTCTACCGGTGAACTGCCCTGGAGAAGGGTCGCACGTACCGGAAGTGGGTAGCGCCAGAAGCGGGTAGTGCCGGAAGTGGTTGGCAGAGCCCCAGGAGGAGCCTCCGGGGTCTCCCAACTCCGGGGAGGTCTGGTGTCTTGTTTTGCTCTCTCCCCTCCTCCCTCTTTCCTTGCCGGGAAATCTGATTAGGACTTGGAAAGCTGAGCCATCTTAGGATCGGGTTGCCAGATTTAGCA